CTGGCCACACAAATCAGACCCCAGGCACTTTACCTTCTTTGTATGCCTTGATTATCTCTTTGATCTGTGCTTTTGTTCGGGATGCCAGGATCTCAATAATAACACCTTCACTTGTTCCCACACCCTTTAATAGAAAACATAATGGAGAAATAAAGGTGGAGAAAGGCATCGAGTCATGGAGTGTAATTTATTGCTAGAGAAGTATGGTTGAGTGAGGAGCTGGTGGCAGCACAGTGTTAGACTGTGTGCTGAGCTGTGAGAAACTGTTGTGATGAAAGCTGGAGACAAAAAGCACATTTGGTTTGGACATGGTTTCTTTTACTGAGGTGCCTAATTTGTAAAGGATGATTTTATACATAAAACCCCCTGTTCTTCTGCAATGCATTTCTGGATTTGGATCTTTGGTGACAGACAGTGTTAGAGGGTTGCAAGGAGACCAGTCCTTGCCTAGTCAGTCCATCTTTGTACCATTTTAACAGACTTCTGTGTTTGAAACTTGAAAAGTTACTGTATTGATAGGTAGGATCCTGGCCAACCCCAGCCTGGCCCTTGCACCAACACTGATTTTTTTTACAGTTTTCACATTGTAGGTCATCAGAGCAGTAGCTATGTGTCATCGAGATCCACTCAGCAGAGGCACTGCAGAAAGCAGTGAAAAGATCTTTAACTGAAATCCATGATCTGTGGGTGTTCATTCCTTGCTAAAGCTGAATTTAGTTTTGCTGTTTCATCCCCAAGGCTTTATGAGACACATATATACAGAAACTCTCATACAGCCCTAAACATTAAAGCAGCATTTTCCACCAGAATATGCATTAATAGCACAATTAACTACTTCTCAAAAGCTACTACTGTTAATAACAAACTTCATCATGTAACACTTCAGTTATTACAACTTGCATTAATAAGCACAGTTGCAGGAAGTTTCTGTGCTATGACTGAAATATCAGCACGCGATTCGCTTACCTGCATGGCATCATGGAGCTCCTTGGCATCATACTTGAGTGGGGAGTACATGAGAGCCACAATGAGTCTCTCAAAGTTGCCACTCAATTCAGACTTCAAGCTTTCAATCAGATCCTGTTAAACATGCATTACATAGTTACACAAAAAGCCTCACAGGACCTTTTTACTGCCTAATGCTGTAGCCATCTCCATGGCCCACAGCAATGAAGCTAAATTACAGTATTGCATTGATAGTTTAGTCCTGGGACTGAAAAAGGCAACTAGTTCCAAAATGGGATTTGTTTAGGTCCTTCCACATTCTTTGTTGTCCAATACTCAGGCTTCCTCCAGGTACCTATTAACTCTGCAGGAGAGTAAGGAAGATTAAAATTTTCCTCCACCCTGCTTTACTCAGTAAGCAGAATCAGGCCTCTGGAGGTGTTGAACTAAGCAAGGGAGAGAACAGTCCAGACAGAACTGATTCCAAAAGCCTGCATATAAACATCCACCCACCCAGGACTTTTCCAAAATCAGGCATGCAGTCCATTTGAAGATAGACTTCAAACTTTCTTTTCACTATAACGCGGGGTTTGCTAGGGTACGAATCCCTGTTTTAGTGAGATACAAGCAGTCCATTCATTGTCCCATACTTGCCCCACCCCTCCCATTTATTTGTCTTTCTGAGAGCCTTGCATGGCAGTCCCCTTTCTAGCAAGGGTCACTGGAGACTCCAGAGCAGGGCTGGTGGCAGAGTTTACTGGTGCAAAAGTTTTCTCAATAAAAGTAAGATTTTCAAACAGAAAAATAGTCCCAGGAAAACATGGTTGTCAATAACTGTAGTTTGTTCTCTTTTTCAGCATTTCCAAAGAAATGTAATTAAACAAGTCTTTATATTGAACTTTCTTTGGCATTTAAAAGGGCCCCAAACCAAACAAATATTTTACTCAAAATGCCACTTAAGAGAGTATAATATTTGTTATGGCTTCAAAAACAGTAAGAAGTGACACTTTAAGTTAAAATAGATTTAAAAAAAATATTTCTGGTCAAAATGCATTTTACAAAGAAAAAAAACCTTACAATTCTTGGGGGAAAACCAGTTTTTCCAACCAAAAATTAATTTCATATATTCATGCCAGACTGTGGGGAGACCTTACTGTGTCCTTCCAGCACCTGAAGGGGGCCTACAAGAAAGCTGGGAGGGACTCTCATAGTGATAGGATGAAGGGTAACGGCTCCAAAATGGAAGGAAGCAGATGTAGCTTAGAAATTAGGGAGAAGTTCTTCATTATGAGGGTGGTGAGATACTGGAACAGGTTGGCCAGGGAAGTTGTGGATGCTTCATCACTGGATGTGTTCAAGACCAGGTTGGATGGGGCTTTGAGCAACCTGGTCTAGTAGAAGGTGTCCCTGTTCATGGCAGGGAAGTTGGAAACAGATGATGTTTAAGGTATCTTCCAAACCAAACCATTCTATGATTCTATGAAATAAGTATTAACCTACTTATTTGCAGAAGACCTGCATATATTTTGCATCATGCTTTCAGGATGAACCATACACCCATTTACTACATCCTGCATGCAGTGAAACAGTGATTGAATATGGCTTTGTTTTGATAGAACCTTTCCAAACTGTCCTTTGAATGATTTGGCAATCTGTTGGCGCTGCATGTTGCTCCTCTTGGTTAGGACATCAATTATGGCTTGTTCATCAGTCCCTGTGGAGAGCAATAGTAAACCATAAACAAAGTGCACGAATTAAGTTGAGACTAGTCCAAAATCACAATCAGAATATTCAGATAACCTCACTAGTTCATTGTCTTCATGTAGAAGTTGCAGTATGTACTGAGGGAACTTTAATTTTCAATTTTCCACATTAAAAAAAAAAAAAAAAAAGTGCTATCTTTGGCTGCAGTTTTCTTAAGGAATGACTTTCAATTTGACAGTTATAAGCAGAACACAGAATTTACTTATGAGGTTGGAATCAACTCACCAAGCCCTTTCATGGCCTTGTACAGAGTATGAGCATCTGGTACAGGGTCAAAGTTTAAAGCACCTGTAACGGACTTGCCCTCTGCTTCACTCTGAAAGAAGAAGAAAAATATGATACTTTCCACCACTGCCTTTCATCAGCTGAAGAAAAAGTATTTTGAAAGTACATCAATGTTATTCATTGCCTACACATCAGGAAGGCACAGAAAAGTGGAGGGATTGGTTCAAAGCCCCTCAGCAGAGCAGAGCTCCAAAGAGAACACACATTTCCTGCCTCCATCTGCCTGGACCAGCCTTTCGCTCCTGGCAGAAACATGAAGTGCAAAGTGTGACTGACTCTGCTGCAAAAGTCATTAGAAGCAGGCAGTTTGGCAGAAAATGCTGAGTAGGCTAGACTTTCCTGTTCATCCCTTAAGCACAATGCTTCACAGCATGTATGCCATCATATCTTACTGCATTTCCCAGTGGTTTGGTGCAGGGTAGCTTCTACACACAGCTTTTCAATTTCCTGGAATAGTCATGCTCTCACAGACCATTTTTCTAAGTAGAAGCTTTATTCTGCTGCTGCACTTCTGCACAGCTGGTTTCAGGAATGAAGCATATCCACTGGAAGGATTTAGGCCAAGAGACTACTCTGAAGGAAGAGATTCATCTGGAGGAGTGCAGGTTTGATGTTCTCCCCTGAACCAATGACCAACTCTCCAAACAGACCCCTAAAGCACTGCCAGTGCCAGAGTCCCAGAGCAGAAAGACATGCTGAGACTTTTTCTAGTCACCACAATGCAGCAGAGCCATCAGCTAGAACCCAGACTTAAAAGCTTCAATTTAAGGCAAGTTGTTAGTCAAGGGACTGGCTTTCACATATGGATGCACCTCTAACAGTAAGGTCCTAGCAACAGGGGAGTACATGAATGATTAGACATAAAGAGTCATCACCACTTTATTCCAATACTGGACACAATTTTCTCTTTCTTAGCAACAGAGAGATTTAAATTACCCCAGGAAGCTACTATATTCTCCTAAATTTACTTGCAGGGATAGGCCTAATATTGGACTAATCATATCAGTATGACCTGATGGAGTTTTCAAAGAGGGTAGCTTCACAGTCAGATAAACAGCACCTTCAAATAAGAGCTCACAGACCAGAAGGAATCACTATGGGTGTTCCATCTGACTTGCATAACACGGGTCACCACGTGCCACCCAACAGCCTCATGACACGATGCCAAGCTCTTCTGCTCGTATTTCCTGTGTGAAAGAAGGATCTGTCCCCCTTCTCCTAGAGTCCTGCCAAGCCATCCAACTACCCAGAGAAAAAAGCCTCCCTAAAGGAAAATGCCTTCAAGTGACCCTTGCCAGGAAGAAAAGCTCGTGGAAATTCCCTCCAGTACCTGCATTCCTAGATTTTAATGAGTGGCTAGAAGATCAATGTCTGTGTGCTAAGAGGTGTCTGTCAACAAATGCTAGGTCCCACCTAGTGCTGCAGCTGAGGCATGCCCATACTGTGCTGCACAGATGCTCAGGCTGGCTGTGGGCAAACCAGCTCAGGTGTCCCTGTCAAGTGCTTTGCCAGTAGATACAGCTGGCACATGCTTGCATGCCAGCCCCTTTGCCAGAAAGGCTCTGGGAGCAGTGGGAAGCAACCAAAAGGCAATGACAAGTATTGAGAAAGGCAGTATGTTCATCAAGCAGCAAGAGGTGGAGAAGTTTGCTTTACAGCCAGCGCAAACCCCTGCACTATCCCACCTTGCTCCCTGCAGAAAGAGTAGTTGTGAAGCAGATGGTGTCAACAGGAAACTTCTCAATAGATGCAGCTTTGAATCCCAAAGATTATTGAGCAGAAGGTTCAAGGCTTTGGTGAAGCTGTCACTGAAGAAAGTGCAGTAACAGTCTAAAGCATCGCCAACCACAATGGTTTGTCACCAGCCTGGAATAGTTTATCTGAGCTGGCAGGAAGGACCATCACAAGTGCTCCTTTTCTGGTCCTCCATGGAGTCAGCCAGCACCATCACGACTGCCCTGGAAAGCAGGCTACACTCATCCATCTGATTTTGCTCTGACAAAGATGCACAATCCTCTCTAGAGGCATGCAAGGGCAATGTGAAAGAAACACCCTGGATTTGTACGTGGTGACTCAGTGAAAGAGGGAGTGCAAAATTTGGAGGCAGTGGAAATAAATTAAACAATGGTCTTCTTTGGGAATCATCCCAATAAACAATGACATCCCATCCTGACTCAAGTAGCACACTCATGACTCAATCATACACCTGGTTCTCTGAGTACATAATTGTTCAAGCACGGGTATAATCACACAGGTTTCTGGAGAAACTCTGTTCAGCTTGGTCTTGTTTCTCAGATGAACTGGTCCTACAATGACCTAAATAAAACTATTCCATGTATCTGTGTAACTGTCATGTGAGGATGAATAACTAGCACAAAAGCAATGGAATCAGCATACCTTACAGTTAATGTTCTGAAAAGTTTTACCTATAAATAAAGGGTAAGGGGATTCAGTTTTCCTACCAGAACATTTTCAAACCTAAAGAATAGCTTAGTGAAAAGTTAGAATTCAGGGACAGGTGGGGTTACTGGGTGTTTTTCAGTGGAAAGTTTCCCAAAAAATTTCACATTTTTTCCATTCTTTTTGCTTTTGAACTGTATTTTTAATTAAAGGTTAAGAAAGGAAAGCAATTTTTTCAATCCTTCCTTTGCCCTCTCATCTTCTCATGCCTCCACCCCCTACAACACCAACAGGTAAGAGATCGATGGAGTTTTCAAGGGCTTTTCTCCTCACATAAGTTTTTAAATGACTTCTAGCTTGGGGGCAGTGGGTAACAGACCAGCAGAAAGGGAAAACTTAAAGTGAGAGTTACTCCAAGTTTTGGTGAAAAAAAAACAAAACACAACAAAAAAAATAACCAAATATTTTACTATGCTAAACTTCCAAAACAGAGAAGGGAGTCTGAGGGAAATAAACAGAAAATAAGATTACAATTTTAATCTTTCTGGGGGGAAAGAAATCAGTTGCAAAACTGTAACTGAGAACCTAAAAAATGGTGATGTCCATACAAAGTGGTTTCTCACTCCTTGATGATGTATTGCACCTGAGGAGGTATATTGCACTGCAAGACAGCTCTCCTACGCTTCTCAGATGCCCTTGGTGGCATGTGGGAGCAGAGGCCCCTTGCCCCCTGCTCAGCCACCAGCACCAAGACTGCCAATGCCCCAGGTGGGAGAGGAGCAGCAGCACTGGAGCCTTGGTGCAGGCTCAGCCCTTGCACGGACAGAAACATGAAGCTCTCTTCACAACAAGAATTAAGGGTGGTCTGGGAGAAATCTTCCCACAAACAAGACAAAAGTAGTCCGGAGAAAGCCTGTGCACTGCTGACAGTGGTGATGGGCATGGGGTGGGGCTGGGGGAGAAGACTTCTCTACCAATACTCCTCCATTGCATATCACCAGCTGTTCTCCTCTAGACTTTGGCTTACAGTTATCTGGAGATAGTCTGGGAGTTAATCCAGCTTTCAACAGAGGCTAACGGGAGAGCTGCCGGGGATGGCAGCAGAGCTGTGCACGTCACCAGAGCTGCCTGCTGCCTGACCTGAGCTGTACCCTGAAGGCTGCCTCAGCACAGCCCACAAGCATCCCCCCATCCTGATGCATTCCTCCCAAAGCCATAAGAGTTTAAAAGAACATGCACAGCATTTCTGGCTCTTAGCACACAGACAAGGTGTTCAAGTCCACATTGTCACTGCAATATTAAAAACCCTCCAAAGACAAAGACGCTGTGGCTTGATCACATCTCCCTCTGTGACCAAGCCTGCCAGCACAACTAGGGACCAAAATGGGGACAGGTCAGTGCCCTGACCTCCCTGCCATAAGAAAAGGGAGCAGACAAAGAGCTCCCACCTTGCAAACCTCATCTGTGTAACTTCACTGTTCCCTGGAACCATCCCCCCATGTACACAGACACACAAACACTCCCTTGCTCCACTCTCAACTGGAGGACCAGGGAGAGTCTGCACTTCTTAAAGCCCGCAATTACGTTAACACCTTCCTTAATCAAGGTTTTTGAAGTGCTGAATGCTATTTTATAGTCAGAAAACCAGTAAAGAGGTCCTGCTGATTCTTAAAGAGACACATTTCATTCCCACACAGTGCCTGATACAACTTGTAAGTCATGTTATTATTGTGCCAAAAAAATCAGAGTGCCTTACTTCAGTATTTCCTCTACTTACCCAGGCCTTCCACCATGCCATTGTAGTCTCAGTAGTGGTACCTGGGTCTGTTGATGAAGAAAACCACACACATCACACCTCATGGTTAGGGAATCTGAGATTTGAAGGGGGCCGAGGGAGAACAGGAAGGAGCAAAAAATATTTTCAATAAACTTACCACAAGGAAACTGGAATAACTGTACTCCTCAGGAGACTTACTCCTTCTGGAAGCTGCAGAATGTAACTGGCCTCTCTGTGCTGAGAACACACAGTTATAAACCATCCTTATCTGCAAATTCCACGGGGCAACACCCTCAGACGTGGCTCAACCTGTTTTTCAGATATGATCTCACAGGGAGAGATCAAGTTGTTTAATAAAGGAGGATTCCCTTGTGACGGGCCCTACATTCAACCCCGTTGACTAAAGCTCTTTTTAGTTTTTCCACTGCTTCTCCACACACACACCCTTCCCTGCTAACATTTTAGCCTCTGGCACAGGCACAAAACGCAAATTACAACCAGGTAACTTCTCAGCATAAAACTCCACTGAGACTTGGTGAATTCTGCTGCAACAGAATAAGCTACTCAGTCATTATTACTTACTCTTTTTATCTTTACCAGTCTGGAACATAGCAAAACGGGACCCTAGAAACTTAACGCAACCTCCTGTACCTCCCTTCCTTAAAAAAAGCTTATTTTAAAAACAACCAGACAAAACCCAACACAGCCACACCCCACACCACACATACAGCTCAATAAAAGCCACTGACTGTACAGAGACTCAGGAGGTCCCTCCCATCCCATACCTAGAGTTGCACGGATTAGGCTAACAAGGCTAGCATAAGATCAGCACATTTAGGGCTAAGAACTTTCAGTAATGCCAACCCCAGCAAAGCTGCCATAGGGCTTGCACTAGTTGCTGTGCCATGTTAAGGCTTAGGAATGGAGTCTGTAATTTTTCTTTTTTTTTTTTTTTCCTTTTTTGTGTTTGTTTTAAAAAGAGCTGAACAGCTCTTAACGCCTTAATTTGGAGAAATGTTCCTGTGAAATCAGCTGAAATATCTTATGGTAGCAATATTTTCCTGTCTAGACTTTTGTCAGAGTCCACTCTTGCCAGCATTTATTTATTTATTTTAAATGGAAAGCTGTCTTTATAGAAATTTTCCCACCCACTATACCTTAACCCTTACAATATAGGAGCTTTGTCCCCTCTCACATTTACAGGCCCACATGGGATGCTTGATAAACACCAAACTGTGTGCCTCTCTTACTTCTCTCCCACACACTGCTATTTCACTTAACCCAGCAGGGTCCCCAGTAGCCTGGGAAGCTGCCCTGGCTATTCCCAAGGGAATGAGCTGTGCCAGCTGCTCCTGGATCAAACTCACCCATCACATGGCAAGGGCAAGTTGTGAAGGAGGAGGAGGCCCCACCCTTGGCATAATAAGCACGCTGCCAAGGTCTGCACTTGGCTTGGTTTCTAGCCATGTTTGAGAGGCATGTTCATCGACAGCAAGGGGAGCTCATGAGTGATCCTCCATTCCTCCTCCTGGGGGTAAGGCAGAGTCACAAACATGGTGGATTTGCTTTTGCTGGATTCTAAGACTGTGCCAGGCTGGCTACATATCCCTTTTCCCTTTGTTGGGATTTAACTGGGTCAGCTTGCCATGGAGGCTGGCTTTCTTGAGGACTCCAAGGACAAAGAATCCCTTCTGGACAGAAAATTGCAGAGTTACAGCAAACAGCTGTAGGTCACAGAGGGGAGCAGAGACCAAACCAGACAGAAAATGGGAAAAAGCCCAAGTGGTTATTCTTGCCAGCAGGGACTGAAAAGGCTGAGAAGGGGCAGAATGGTATTTTAATGCAGAGAAGCACTGGCCAGATTTTAAGAAAACAATATGGGTGGTCTAGGAAAGGTATGGAGAACCTGAAGCATGCAGCAGGGCTCAGAGCAGCATTGCACAGTCTTAATGCAGACCACAGCAGTCAGCATGCACAGGCCCGTGGAGCAAAGGGCAGGCACTACAGTTCAATACTCCTTTGGCTTGGGCAGATGCTGTTAAGCTGAGCAGCTCTAAACATGAACAAGCTCATCTTCACTGCTCTTCCTGTCCCCCCCTTCACACGCAGGCTGTGTATGTGGCAGAGCTTACCCACAGTTCATGCAATTTACTGCTGTGTACCTGAGAGACATGCACACATCTTTTACAGCACCAGTGAGCTATGTAAATCACGACCTCACATATAGCTAAATGATTGCCTCAGGAACACGCAAAATGTCAGAAAAGGGGCAGAAGATGATCCAGGGGTTCTCCCAAGCCTCCCCCCCCCACCCCCCCATGAGGCTATTTTTACATCTCAGGTAATACTCCTTTTTGGAAAGTGAGCTCCAAATGCAGTAACAAGACTGTCAGTAGATACTCTGCCTGACTTCACATTCAGGTGGTTAGCATTTGACCCAGACAGTGATCCTATTTACTGGTACTGTGGCATCACCCTAAAACACAGTAACCTCTCAGGTATCTGCAGCAGGACCACCTGGGCAGCAGGTCAGTTGTGCTACAGGTACATATATCCAACGAATGTCTGCACAGTGAATCTTTTTAAAACCTCACCCACAGGCTTCCTCTAGGCTTCCAGAGTCCCTGTTCCTACTGATATGCCCAGCAAAGCCATCAGAAATCTCCTGCAGAAGAAGACAATGCACTGAAATCAGGCCTGATTTGCGTATTTTTAAGCCATTTGAGCCAAATTAAATTTCAGCTAGACAAAATGAAGAGGCTACCAGTGTATGTACTTTTTTTGACTCTGCCCTTGGGACAAGCTTGAATCAGTAACCTGGGAGCTGGTACATACTCAATCAGCATAAGGCAAGTTATAAAAGAAATCACAAGCAGGATTTTGCTTAACCTTTTTCAAACTACAAAAATATCTAAGGCATGACAAAAAGGTGCTGATAGCCTTAGAAAGGTGTATTACTGACATTACATCGTGAAGCTTTTACCACCCATTAAGCTCTGTCTCTTCTGCATTAAGCTGAATGAGAGCAGTCTAAAGGATTTTCTAATTTAGATTGAGGATGACTAGTCTTCTAGTGTGCAGCAGCAGCCCCCTTTTCCCCTTTCCCATCTGTTGTTTGTAAAGTCTGGCCTCGTGCCTGTGAAGTTTCAAGCCAGAGACTTGACTGTTTTGGAACATGAAAACTTATGGAAACCGTGTTCTCAATTTCTCAGCAATTTCATTTACTCCATGGTTTTCACTTCTAATAGAACTTTTTCAAGCCTAATAAGAACAACACAGCCCATTGGGAATTTCACCACAAGGTTTGTACTTGTTTATTTTTAAGCCAGGAATATGGAAATCAAGTGGAATCATGAAAACAACAAACCAAACACACAGAGATACTTATGTGCAAAACAATCTGATAATTGTACAATATAACTACTCAAATTTCAGGAAATGTGAGCATACCTCTGAGACCAAACAGGAACAGTCTGATAATTGTACAACATAACTACCCAAATTTCAGGAAATTTGAGCATACCTCTGAGACCAAACAGGAAAGAGGTATTTTTTTACAAGGCTAAAATCTTGATAACTTTCTCCAATCTGGTCTGCAAGCAATAGAACATAGAACTGTACTTCTGATGAGGATCCAGTTCAGTAGAACTGCAGGATTTTTATGTTTGATTTTTTTTTTTCCAATGCATAAAAGAAATCACTAAACTCATACAGTACTATGCTTTCCAGGTCTGAGCATTACCCCCCTTACTTACAAGTCTTTTAGCTCTGCACCTATTGTTAATAGCACCTTGACGTACCTTCCAGTGACTTACACCAGTCTCTTGCCTCAACAACTGTCACATTTGCAGATGGGCTCACCCTTTCTCACTGGGCAAACTTCACGAGTTTCATCTTACACGTTTTAAACCACTATGTAAGCAATCCCAGAGACCAGGCATTACAGCCCATATTACTTCTGCTCCCTTTTCTTTCTATCACTACTTAAATGGATAAGAGCACCTGAATCCTCTCACAATCTGAGGAGCAAATGACCTTACGTCTACTAATCAGCTCACCATCACCTGAAATCAGGCCATTATATGGGAGAGCTGTGTAAATTTGCCAGCAAGCCAATCCAAACTAAAAGTTATTGTCTGTTTGTGAAAGAGGTGTGAGCTGGGGAAAAAGAGCAAATGGGGAAGGCAGTAGTTCTGAGCAAGGAGACCATCTGTAATGCAAAAATAAAGTCACTAAAGCCTAAAAATAATTGTACTTGCCTCCCTGGTAGCTTGCTGCTTACACTGCCCTTTCCTCTTGTGCCTTCGAACCATCTTTAACAGTGAAAATGACCCCAAAATAGGATCATTTCCATTTGAAAATCACTAGTTTCTGAGTTTCCTTTATTACTGCAAACAGCTTTGTGCCAAGTATCATGAGAGAAAATTAACGTTTATATGGGGTGTGAGGACGTCTTTCGATCACAGAAACAGCAACAGAATGAAAACTCAGGGCTTGATTCCCCTCAGCACCTTTGTAGCTCAGGAGGATGAGCCCTGGGGTCAGTTGGAGCAGCCAATGCCACAAGAGACTTCACAGACATTTGCAGAGGCTGGTGGAGGGTGTGCCAACCTCGTCTTTCCAGAGCACCTTTGCAGTCCAGGGCCTTTCTGCTGCCCGTGGGAGAGCCAGGGTGAGGCACCAACACCAGCACAGCAGAGCACCTTCCCTCGGCTTACTCTGCCTCTGCTCTGCTTCTGACTCTGGCTGAACATTTTTCTGCTCATTCCTTTCTTGCTCTCGTGCTGGTGCCAAAGAATTCCTCCCAGTTGCCCCAGCCACCGTTCCCCACACAAAGCAGGCAATTCCTGCTCTCGTTTAACCCCAAGGGCCAACAAAGAAAGCACTCTAGCTCAAAATGGGGAAAGGCAACTCACTTGGGTATGATGGGGTCATGACAGATGCCAGGAGTTCACAGCAGCAGCGGGTGGTAGGCAGCATTTGAGAAGCCTTTGGGTGCTTACGTGTGAAATATTTTGTGCACATTCCCACCTA